CGGGAGAGTGCGGTGCTGATAACATCAAGGCCACGGGTTCGGATCCCATATAGGGATGGCCAGTTTGCTCACTGGCTGAGCGTGGTACTGACAACACCAAGTCAAGGGTTGAGATCCCCTTACTGGTCATCTTTTTTTTAAAAAAAAACAAAAAAAACAAAAACCAAATAGCTCTTCTAGGCGGTTTTCATTTTCAGGGCGGGGACTACTTAGCCTCTGCTGTAACACTTTACAGGGACACAAAGAACCCCATGATTAACATAAGTAATATTTGATGCAATATTTTTAAAAAATCAAGTTGGCAAACTATAGCCTGTGGACAGCCACCTGTTTCTGTAAGTAAAGTCTCAATTTTTAATTTAAAACAAAACTCCTGGTTACACACTCATACCAGCATATATACACAGTAGTTCTAAAATATTTCCATACCTTTATTGATACCTCAATAAAATGATAGCATTGCATATCTTTTCTTTGACTACTTTATAACAGGTCATCATTATCTGGCTTTGGATGTAAATTCAAAAAATGTGACATTACCCAAAATGTCACTTTCTATAAAGTGACGAGCCAATGAAGTGAGTCTTGAATCCATACCCCAAATCCTGGATCCATACCCCAAAGCTACATAATGAAATGATATAATAAAGCTATATAATAAATTTCTTTTATGGCAAGTGTTTTATAATATACAATTTGACAGTAGGAATCGTGAGTGAGCGTGGCGGGGGCTTTGCCTCAGTTGCAGGTGGCCCGTCCAACCACGGTGTATCGATGGCATCTGGGACAGCTCCACCACCATTGGCTCGGATACAAAGGCTATTCCTAGGAATTGTCTGCACACCGGAATGATAGCGTCCTGCCATAGTCAGCAATGTTCGTTCAGTTTTGAGCACTGGTATTTAAGAGCAAAACCAAAATTAATTCATGATAGAGCGAGTTGAAATCTAGACTTGATTACAAAGTGATTTAATCATGCGTCAGATCCCAGCAAGGTTGACAAGCAACATTGTGGTCTCTAAGAGAAAGACTGGGAGAATTAAAGCAAGTGTTTTGTAACTGATCTAGGAAGGACAAGCAGCTGCTGTGGGCCCCTCCTTCGGAAGGAATTGCCCCCAATGGGGCTCCCTCCACTTCCAGTCTGACCTTGGGCAAGTCACCTACCTGCACTTCCATTCTGTCATCTCGGAAATGGGGAGAACTCCTCCTGAAGCAGAGTAAGGCTGGGCCTGTGAACCAAACTGACTCCATTTTCCCTGCAGAGGACACTTTGTTACTTTTCTACTCCTCAGTCATGAGACCCCCAGGGCAAATGATTAGGCCACCCATGGGCTGCCCTGACAAAACAGACTGAGATAAGGGAGGAAACAGACATTTACTGAGTTGCAAAACCCCTCCCCAAGGCTTGTTTACTATAATTGTAAAAGTTACAGATTAACCTTAAAACCCCTTTAGGAATTCCCAGCGGCTCACAAAGCACCAAGGTGACTGCTGCAATGACCCTCCTGGGGTGACAATGATGAACACTACTGCCTACTGAGCATGCGCCCATGACACAGCCGGAAAGGACAGAACGGACCACCTCCAGTGACACTGGCCTGCCACCCCTTAACTCCTTTCCCTATAAAAGACCCTGCACAGCTCCCCTCGGGCGGCTGGCCTTACTGTCACTACCCCCTTTATGCATAAGTCTGTCTCCTCTTTTAATAAAGCGTTGCTTGCTTTACTGTTGGGTACATCGTTCATTTCTATGACTTTGGATTCTGAGAGCCTAATTTAATCACTGGCAAAAATTGGAAAGCTCTGGGCACCGGAGAGGACTCCAGCTGCACGAGGCAAGTGGCCACTGGGACTATTTTGTCCCGTGCCTCCACTGCTGGTAGATCTCTCCTGGAGTCCCTGGGCTAACTTCTGACAAGGCAATGCTTTATTCTCTTTACCTTTTTCTGATTTTCTGAGCCCTCTTCTGTTTGGTTGGATTGTATCCATGTCTGCATAGGTGCACCCTGGAGGGCTCCTGGCTGTGATTTGTTTTTCTGATTTAAATCTAGTCTATACTTTTCTTCTTTATGCTGAAAACAGTGGGGAGAACTGCCTTTATCAATTACTGCTAATGGAATAGGTTGGCCCCGCCAATTGGGACTAAGCTGAGCTGGACCCCACTGCTCCTCTTTTCTCTTTGTTTGTTTGCTGGGTTAGACATTTAGTTGAGTACCCATAATTGAATAAACCTTCCAATCCTTGCATCAACTTTTGGACTTTCAGGTCATTTGTTTAAGGCGAGAGGGCAGCCAAGCCTGACCTGTCGGTAACACTCCTGGGGCTTTTGTGAGGATTAAAGAAATCAACACAGGCAAAGCGCTTAGACTATTCCTAGCACATAGTAAGTGCTCAATAAATGGTAGCTATCCTTAGCTGCCGGAGATCAGTTACCCAAGCCTAGGGGGTGTCTGAAGCCAATGGGAACAAGATTAACAAGCATGGAAGAAGAGATGGCTAGAGGGGACACTCCCCAAGATGTGGGGGCTCCCCAGCATCCTCAGCCACTGCTGACTGCATTTCATGTACTCTAAGGGAACAAACTTATTCTTTTATTCATTCTATGTCAACAATTCCCAAACTTTTAGTTCCAACCCAGGCCTATTTCTCCTGGGTTCGCTCAAGCACCTCAGATTCAACATATTCCAAACCTCAGTCTCACCCCCACCTCGCCAAACCTGCTTCCCCAGCATTCTCTTTGTTATGGGATTCCATCATATCTGCATCACCCACCCAAGCCTCTCTTTCTTTAATTTGGCAACCTGCCCCACACTTAATCAGCAACCAAGTCCTACCAGTTTTCCATCTTAAAGGTTCTTAAACCTGCCCCTGACTCTCCCTCTCTGCTACCACTGACCCAGATCCTCCTGCATCCAAATGTGTCCTCCTCAAATCCAACGCCCCATCCCTGGTTAAAACGTCAGTGACCTCTTCCTGCTTAAATGTCCAAGCTTCTGACCATCATTTCCCGTGCATTCCCCCATCAGGCCTCAGCCCATCTCTCTGACATCTTTCGGCTCTTTCTGATTGCACCTTGTCTCCTAGCAACTCTCCAGTGCTGACTGTTGCCCTGCCCACAACATGTTGCTTGTCAGTTCCATGTCTGGGCTGATCTGTTCTCTCTGCTCCTAATGTCTTCCTCCTCTTTATCTGGCTCAGATCAGATGACACCTCCTCCAGGAAGCCTGCCCTGATCCTCTTTTCTCTCAAACTGGGTTAATATTCTTTCCCTGTGTGACTGTCTTTGTCATTTATATAGCAAGCATTACCGGACAACAGGGGTCCATCCCTTGGAGAGTGCAACCAAGACCAGGGTAGGAGAAAAAGGCTTTATTACTGGGAATTGCTTCCAAAGCAGTGTCTCCCTGAACAAGGAAAAGGGGTCATCTTATACAGCCAAAGTTCTTCCCTAACATGCTTCCCAAGCTCTTACTGAGGTCCTCTTGGGTCAATGAAGGCTACAAGCTTGTTCAATTTGGAGTGGTTGACTGTGGGATATAGTTCACTGGTCAGTTCTGAAGCCAAATTTGCATTTAGCAACATGTGGCCTTTGGACAGGACCTCAGGAAGTTGTCACATGGTCTAAACCTTGAGCCCTCGGCTAGTACAGGTTACTCAGTCCATAGGTGGCAAATTGAGACTTCCCTGTCGTGGCTGATTCATGACATAAAACAGGGACGGGTAGGTGAGGAGATCCTGGCTCCTCCTTGGGCAGAAATTCATGAAAGTTCATCTCTGGTGCCCGTATTTCAGTTTCAGCTGATATATTTTGAGGCC